ACTGTTTGTAAGGTTGAATGAATTGACATATATGAATGATGCACTTATCTTAACATTTGTCATGTTTTGTTATATTTGTTTCATTTAAACTTGAATGTTGGTTATCTTGGATATTGTCAGTTATAGAACTGCAAATCAATGAACTTATGTATGTTATGTTCGATCTTGCACGCTAAACTTAAATATCTATCATATTTTTTTCAATGTTTAATCTGGTATAGGTAACGAATAATCGCTCTAGGCGTTGGGCGGTGCCTCCCTGCCTAGTTAGCGCCGAGCGCCTTCTTGAACATTAATTTATTGTGATCTACAAATTTACGAGAAAAAAAAAATTCCAGAACCAAATATACCAACTTGGTATAGAATGTTTGTCACATAATATATACATCATGGTTGTCACGCCGGTGGCGTGCTGGTCGGTTGAATCAGGTGTGTCAGTCGGTTGAACCTGGTTCAACCGATGCCGGTCATAAAACCGTTGTGAACACGAGTGATATGATTGGCATGATGAATTTACAACCTCTAAGTGAAATGACGTCGCTTTAGTGAATTAATTAATTAATCAATCAATAAATTTATTTATTTTATAAATTTAAAAGTTCAATGTTAATGTTATTTGTTGGATTCAACATTTAGTTATTAACATTAAATGTTGTATTTTAGTTAAATATAAATTTGTGTTCAAACTTCAAATATATTTTATTTATAATTAAATTTGACGTTAATGATTTTCTCATTTTTACTTGTTAAACCAAAAATCCGGAATGAACAGACACAAATCATTATACCACTAGTAAAGCCATTGGATTTGCCAAACCAGCGAAGATATAAACCGGTTTGACGCATTATACAACCATTCTATGAATCGCTGCCGCTTAGGGATGGCAATTTTGACCTGACCCGTTACACCCGACCTGTTTGACCTGTTTTGGGGAGGGTCCGACCCGTCCCGTAGGCGGGGCGGGGCGGGCATGGGTAGTCTCATCGACCCGACCTGCCCTGACCCGCCCCATTCTCAACCCGTTCTTGTCTAAATTACATGAAAATTTAGTCAAATTACTTTGAATTTTCCTTTTATTGCATCATATTTTAGCTATAATAAAGTTGTAAATTAGTGAAAACATCAATTTCTCCAATAATTTAACTACAATTGTCATAATATTGTTTGTTTTCTTAGTTTTTTAATAAAATTAATGAATATTTCTAATATTTTACATATAAATTGCATACCCATTGAGTCAACCTGCCCCGACCCGCGACTCGTGATCAATTACCCGGCCCGGGCCTGCACCATTGCCATTCCTACTGCCGCTTCCAAGCTATCTATAACGCCGTTGGCTGGAACCAAGTTTTCTTTCCCTTGCTCTGAATCTTTCTGAACTTAGAAACAAGCCACAAATTGAGCTTCTGTGTCAATCTACCACACCTCGATGAACAGAGACCGCAGTCGTCACAGGCGCGAACCCATATTATAACGGATCCTTCACCGATTATTCTTCGGAAGGGAAGGACTGAATTTCTAGGGTTTTCTTTCTTTACTTTATCTCTCAATTGGGGTATATTTCATGGCGATGGAGGGGGCCAGCAATGGAGGGATGTTGTATCACGAGGTACAGGAGTCGAAGCTCTGCGCCGTGCATTGCGTCAACACCGTCCTCCAGGGTCCTTTTTTCTCCGAATTCGATTTGGCGGCGCTTGCCTCCGATCTCGATACCAAGGAGCGCCAGGTCATGTCACACGCCGGCCCTGCTCCTCCTCCTGCTGCCGGCGGCGATTTCCTCTCTGCGGAGTCTCACAATGTCTCCATGGGCGGAGATTTCAGCATCCAGGTGAATAATCCTGAAATCTGGCTAACTACTCCTCTATCTCTACCTACTCTTTTCTCCCTTGTCTTTCCATTGCCTGGACGTCAAGATTAATTCGCATGCACCCTTTATTCTTGTTCTGCCCGTGTCTCTATTGTCCTCAATTTCGTCAAAATTTGCGTCACCTGTCTACAAGCTTTGAATTTAGGGCCTGTGAGCATTGCTTAGATTCGCATTTTTTGCTCTAGGTGGTAGCTTTTCTTTATGGTTCTGCTTTCCTTACGACCATTTTGTCAATTTTCTGCTGCGTAGAATACACGTTTGTCGATCGGCTAGTTGATTTCTTCCTCGCCGAGCTAATTGTGGGAACTTTTCTCTTACGGTGAATTGTGAATTGTCCTTTCCCTTTGTCCCATTGAGCAGATGAACTACGATTTTAAACTTCCTTGACTGGTTTTTAACTGCCCAAGAAGCAGTCATCCGTGCATTTATTACGCACCCTTGTGCCTGCCCAAATCCTGAGTTTCTTTTGTATGAATCCCTTGCCGGTTTTGTAATGCTCGATTAATTTCAGCTGCTATGGCTTCATCCGTTTGATGATGCAAGGGTTCCCAGTTGATCGAATGAAGGATTATTTGTTAAAGCTCTGATCTAGATGACGGCAGATTATGTTTCTCTGGCATTTATCAAGAGGGATTGATTGCCGTGGCTTTGGATTTCTCTATAGAGTCGATTCTATTTGTGACATTGAACAGTCAAAGAAGCACAATAAAAGATTTGTTTGGCTTGCTTATAATTGTCCAAGGACAAACATTGATTCATTTATTACGCCAATAAGGCTGCGCAAATCTTGAATTTACTATTGGAACCCCTTGCCAATTTCGGAATGCTCCACTACTTTTTGTTGCTACGACTCCATCTTCCCGTTAAATAACTGATCTTTACAAGTTGGATTATGTTTCCGTTGTGTTTGTCACGGGGGATTGTTTGCTGTGGCTCGAATTTCTTTACAGAGTGAAATTGTGAGAAAAATCATGTTATCAACTGATAAGAGACGACATTCTTATGAAACCGTGTAGAGTTTGGCCATCAACCTTAGTTTTGAAGAACTGCAATCTGTTTAAATGGTGTTTTGAAGTAGGTTATGATGAAGGGTTACCTGTCGATGTTCTGTGATGTGGTACTACATTCTCGTGTGTTTCAGAATGCAATAACTGTGCTTTGATTTTATATAATCTTGCATCTTTCTTGTCTTTTTTGTTTATGGTATGCATACAAATGAATAGAACAATTTTGTTCCAGCAGCTCAGTTTTTGCTTTATGTTTTCAAGATGCTTAAACCCTAGTTCAGTTAGGGTGAGGATGCAGAATTGATCTTTGTATTGGTACATAAAATGGACATTCAAGTGAATTACACCACACTATTGCATTCTAAATGATATGACTTTTGCTTTCCTGTTGAAACTAGGATATATCATTGAGGTGTATCCTTTGTGGAGAAGTTCGACATTTGATATAGTCATTGTGCTTGATCTTGCTAGTTCGGATGCCAGTTCTTGGTGTCTAATAAGTGCTGTGGATGACTTTTTTTATTTGGTTATGAATGAATTCCTCTGTACTAGGAAGGAGTGACACTGTAGATTACTCCATTGCACATGCACATGTTGTGGCTTTCTTGAGTGTAATCCATTAGAAGTTGTTTGGTTTAACCCAAAGACCCCCAAAGAGACACGAGTTTCTGGAAGGTAAACAACTTGATTGATCCCTAAGTTACTGCCAAAGGGAGATCCACCTATCTCTGGTAGACGATTTGGCCCTTAAGTTTCCGTTTTTTTCTTCTTCTTTCATTTCCTTGGTAAATTTGAAAGGCTATTGAACACAATCATCAACCTAGTTAACTATCAAATACTTGCTGCTGCGAAACTTATTTGATGAGCTACATGTAGACTTTGTACCAGTTCTAGACAAAACTGATAATTATGCCCTAGTTCATGGATTAGTAGTCTAAATTCAGCATTTTGACTAAGTAATTCATTCCTTGCTTCTCAGGTTTTGCAAAAGGCATTGGAGGTATGGGACCTGCAAGTCATTCCCTTCAGCAGTCCGGTGGCTGAGCCAGCACACCTGGACCCTGATACAGAAAACGCATTCATCTGCCACTTGCACGACCACTGGTTCTGCATCAGGAAAGTGAACGGGGAGTGGTATAACTTTGACAGTCTAGGTGCAGCCCCAGTGCACCTGTCAAAGTTCTATCTCGCAGCTTACCTGGACTCCCTGAGAAGCGCCAGCTGGAGCATATTCCTGGTGAGAGGCAACTTCCCTCAGGAGTTCCCTATCTCGTCCTCTGAAGCTTCCAATGGCTATGGCCAGTGGCTGTCTCCTGAAGACGCTGACAGGATCATAAAGTCCTGTTCTGATGCACAGGATGTGCAAGATCCTAAGCCCCTCAGCATCGTCCGACCGGGTACGGACTCGTACGAGGAAATGTGGTCGCAACGAGAAGATGAGGATTTGAAAGCTGCAATTGCTGCTAGCTTGATGGATTCAAGTGCTGCCAGCAGCAGTGCCTTGAAAGACAAGGAACCGGAGCACAAAGAGCCTGTTGGCTCGGGGAAGGAAAAGGAAGAGGCGGCAAAAGACGAGGCAAAGGATACCGAAAAAGATAAAGCAGAATGAGAAGAGAGGGTTTGAAGGATTGAATTTGAAAAGGAACATCATTTTAGAGAATTCAGTTGAACTGTACACAGAATACACAGATCTTACAATTTTCTTCTTTTTCTACTGTGTTTCTCGGTTAGTTTTTCTTTCAGATTAGTGTTGCGAAAATCTCTGTTGAGAAGGACCTCCTCAGTTTTCCTCATGTATACGCAGTTTTCTGTCATTACTCATTACTCTTAGTTGCAGTGCTGCACAACAATGTCTGCTTTGGTTTCCTCTTCCGTCTCGCCTACTCAAACCGCGTAAGCATGCATATTGGACTGTTGAAACCAGCAAGAAATGGCCTCATCTGCGAACGAACGTTAACCTCACGACCGCCGGTGAGATTTAAGAGTGGCCGGCGAAACTCGGCCAGTTGACGTTGTTGGGAGAAAGGCGGATTGATGTAACTGTACGTCTTTGGTTCTTTGTCTAATCAAAGGAAACAAAACATAATCTATTGAAATATAAATTATTACATCCTCGCAACTAACCAGGCCTGAAAATCAAAGGAACAACATGTAGTCGGGTAAAAAGAGAGAGCCTTTCGATCCACCAGATGGGCTATCCTTTTACTACTCCGTCCTACAAATCGTACACTAAGCCCAATGTGAATAGCCAAACATTGCACGACCTCATGAAAGATGGCTTCAGCCTGGCTATCACGAACATTCGCCATATTGATTTTATCCATGACCACTTTAGCATCGCCTTCCAGCCGTGCCTCAGAGAAACCGTTTGCCAGACAACCACTGAATGGTCACTCAAACAACCAGGAGCTCAACGACCATGGGATCATCTATCCCGTTAAAATGAATCCATTTAACCAAGAGGATCATCCCAACTTGGTTTCTGAAAATCATACCCCAGCCGAATGGGATCCCTTTTTCGTCGCTCCATCCCACATAGGCACATACAGATAATCGAGCTAGGAAGACCGTGATTCAAGTGACTCTCCTATGGGATGGCAATCAAAGCATAAAGGCTGGTTCTTTTATGTATTTATTTTTTTCCCCGTTGAAAATTGGAAAACAAGAAAGCTGGAAAGGTAAAAAAAAAAACCAACGGGCGGAGTGGGCACTTTTAGGCTGGAAACTCAGCCCACCACCAACTGCAATCTATCAACACTCGCCATCGTAGAAAATCACATCATCTCCACGGGACCTCTATGAATCTGAGTGGAAAAAATTCCATGGAGAGAAGGCTTTGATTGGTGGAGGGTTTTCGATAAAGAAAGCCTGACAGACGCCATTGATCGTCTTTTTTTCCTTCTTTTCCCGTTTCCTTTCTCTTTTCATCGTTTCTCTGGACATCATCGTCGTAGCCATTTGCCCGGGGAGATCTGACTCCTGGATTCAGGAACCCATCTCTGAATTATCGTTTGACCCAAATGGATTCATCGTCGGATCCATCGTTTACCCGACAAAGAAATCTTCATCAAATCCTTGGAGAAGGTTTAGGTAAAGTTGATTCCTTCCCTCCACCCCGTGATTACTTCCATTTTGATCTCGAGCATTTTGATTCCGAGTTGATTTTGCCCGCGAGATCTTTGATGTTTTGTGGAGCCCAATGATGTGTATCCGTGATTATGAATGTCCATTAGAATTAAAATCATTTCCTGATGTCTGACTGTGATTGATCTAATGTGGATATTGGGTTTGTGCCAAAATTGTGGGATCAAGAGCTCTAAGATAAGCTGTCTCTCTAGCAGTTGCAGATGTAGTACTATGGAGGCAAAGCAACATCTCAGCCGGGATATTACTAGTAACAGTAGCTTCTTGGGTGGTTTTTGAGATCTCTGGCTACACTCTTCTCTCACTTGTTTCTAGTGTGCTTCTCCTCCTTCTCACCATTCTATTTCTCTGGGCCAAATCAGCTGCAATTCTCAACAGGTAATTTATACTCTCTTCTATTCATTTTTTTCTTTCTTCTTCTAATCTTGGCTACTCTTTGAAAATAGTTGCATCAAACCTCCCAATGGCTTCACAAAACTTGCAGATAATGACTTGTGAAAATGTTTGGTCTTGCCTCTTTTAATAAAAAGCAGACCTCCTCCGCCTCTACCAAAGTTGCAGCTCTCAGAAGAAATGGTGAATCAAGCTGCAAATTTGTTCAGAACCCATGTGAATGAGCTGCTTGCCGTTTCTCAGAACATTGCTCTGGGGAAAGACACAAAGCTCTTCTTCAAAGTGGCTGCATATCTCTTGCTAATAGCCATTGTTGGTGGCATGACTGATCTTCTCGCGTTGGGCTACACTAGTAATCACTCCATTTCCCCCTTAATTCCCTTTCACATTAAGTGTAAAGTTCTGTATTTCCTACACTATTTCCCATTGAATAAACATATGTTGTGTGCTATATGATTTGCAGGTCTGCTGATGATTTTGACCGTGCCAGTACTGTACGAGAGATATGGGGATGATGTTGATAGATACATTAAGATGACTAGCTACGAGTTACAGAAACTGTATAACAAAATTGATGTGGAGGTTATTGGTAGAGTGAAAAAATGTATATTGGAGAAGCAGAAACTAAGTTGATTCCTTCCATTTTACTTCTTTTTTTCTTTTCTTTTCCAATTTGGATGTGTCCTTCGAGGTGCTGAGTGATAATGAATAGGCGCTCTTTTGTGGGTCTGGTAGCTTTGCTAATTCTTCCTTCTCCCTCTTCCGGGTTTTGTTTTTGTTTCCTGGGCCAGCAGTTTTTGGTTTTCCTGGTGTTGGCTTGCAAAACCTCAATACATATATAGAAGCTATAGACAAAACAAGAGAAATGGCTACCTCGACAGCAAACTGTGTCTTCTGTTTTTTTGCATCTTTTCCAGTCTCGATCCTGTTATTTTATATTCTGTTTAATGGGGGAAAACTCTTGATCTTAGAGTTAATGTTTTATCTTTCCCCAGTAATCTTCTTTTCTGTCTCCTGTAATCTAAGTTCTTATAGGATAGGACTATTGTAATCTGATTGAAGTTAGGGATGGAAGGCTACTTGTGATTAGGGGTAGGAATCGGCCGATTCGGTTCCAAATCGAGTCTATTGAGATTGGACTGGAGAAAAAACAGAGGAAAAATGATGACTAGAACCGGACCAAAAACATGTTTGGTTCGTTTGATTCGACTTAGTCTAGTTTAGATTCCACTTCGGTCAATTTTTTCATCATTCTTTAAAATAATTTATAGGACCAAAACCGAATTGAAATATATTCGATCCGATCCAATTCGGTCCAAATATTGATTCGGTGCGATGTTAACCAGATCGTTACACACCCCTACTTGTGATTGTAGTTTGCAAAGGCTCGTATGTATAGTACCTTTTTGTTTTTTTTATAAGAAACGAATATCTAGCCATGATTTTTTTTTGTCATTAGATCACTCCGGAAAGAGGTGGAAAGCAAGATTTAAACATAACTAGTATATGTAACTATTGAAACATCACTAAGTAGTAGTAATATTGAAGCTCGGAACTGTTCGAAGTGATCAAATAAGGTATTAGTATGACGAGCCATCAAATTGGTAACTCTATTACAATTGATCGATGAACCAAAAGCCAAAACTTGGAGAAGAATATAAGAGGCCGCCAATTTGGAGGGCTCGATAGTGTTGCATGATAGAAACATACCCTTAAGGTTTTTAATATATTTTATGAGGGATTATGGGAGTTATTGGTATTTTGGTAAATCACAAGAATTAGATGAAACATAAGAGAATTTTTCAAGTTATATATTCTGTAGTTGTATAGGAGAATTCATTAAGTAATAACATAACAAGTATTTCATAAATCTAATTATCTCTCTCCTCTTAATTTCGTTATCTCTTTCTCCCAATTTTCCTCTCATTCGTCTTCTTCCTCCAAATTGGCTGAGAGCCTCTCTTCTTCTTCCCCAAATTCTACTTCTAATCCTCCTTGAATTCTACCCATATTCTCTCCAAATTAATGTCTTATCCCTAATGTCACATGTCGAAAAGCATTTTGTCTAACAACAGTATCTAAGTTTGGTTGGGAGCCAGGATCCTTACATAGAGAAGATATCTTCGGAGCAAGCTTTGTGAGATACTTTAGAGCTTGAAGATTTTACTAGTAGAAGGATTCAAGAAGGTGATCGTGATGATGATGGATCATCATATCAAGCTTGACTACCCACTTAAGGATATTGTGTCTACACTCTGCACTTAAGAAAAATGCACAGAAGGCTAGTGAAAGACACGAAGGAGAATGAAAAAATCATGTTGGTGATCCGAATCTTGGTGAATAGAGCAACAAACCTCCACGCAACAGCCTTGAAACGACGAGAGTGATCATATCATCACTCACTATGGCTCAAGCAGTCGAGGAAGTGATCAATGACAAGGAGGACAATGATGACGCTCAAATTGTAGTGTTTATCACTCCCAATAATGATACATTCTCCTTATATCGATGCATCTTTAGCTTCTTTTTAGATATTATATGTGGATTTCCTAACTATTTTATCAAACTGCATAATTTAGACTTTCAGTGTACTTTTTGTACTATTTTATGCCTTTTTGTGTTATTTTGTGAATGTCAATGATATAATATACTCAAGAGAAATATGAATATGCATAATTAATGGACCAGACGAAGGACGGGAATACAAGCTCGTGAATCAGATGCTCATTTGATGGCTCATAGAATCAGATTTATGAAAGCTAATTGGCCAAAATTTGAAGAGCCCGAGATGAAGCAGCCCATGAAAAATCATCCCAATTGGAGAAGGAAAATCCACAGTGGTGACCTAGCAGGCAGAACCGCCGTTGAGTTAAATCAATCATTGGCAATGAAATTTAGTGGAGAGGTTGCTTGTGGGCCAAGAAACCCAAATCTTCAAGAAAATCCAAGGCGGTAGTAACCGTCAGGTGGCCCCCGCCAAGGCCATGCCCAATAGAATCTTCTGAAATATTCCTTCCTTGGTCCCTAAGTTAGAGAATTCGAGTTCCAGTTGTTCATGGAAGCTTTTGACCTAGTCATAGTGTTTAGACACACATATATACACACAGAAACAATCAAAGTTATGCCAGAGTAAAACAGAGATGCCTTCATCATCAGCGATGTTAGCTCCATCTCTTATGGCTAACTAAGCATGTATTGGTTAATGACGTGAATTCTATGATGCTTTATGCATCTACTTTCTATGATTTAATAAGATGCTTATATCATTATATGCTTATATAATCTATAATATGTGCTACTATGGTCTTGCTTATAGTACTACCATAAGTTGTTAGGAAACTACTCTTCGGTGGTATGCATTTTCCTTAAGCGTGTATGAAGTGAAGTGCACGTACTTTCATGCATGAATGAGGTTGATGTTTGATATAGTAGATCAGAAATGTCATATACCATTGTTATATAGAGGCCTCAAATATCAATGTACTATTCTTACTGATTTGATTCTCGCAATAGCCCAGGACACCGACCAATAGTGCTGAATTCCCCGACCGGGGAATCAAAAGGGAGGCTAGGGATTGGAAGTAGACCCATCCCCGGGTAGTTGAATTAAAACCCCGACCGTGTTGCTACCCATTATATTGTTCGAGCCTCTTTCCGATTTTGTGTTGAAGTTACACGAAAATTCCTCCCTATCCTTTACTTTTCGAGTTGTGGAGAGAAAATATCGGAAAACACTAAAAAGACCGAAGTTGCGTGACTTTGAAAAAAGAACCTAAACTTTCATGAGCTCGAGATCTTATCACTTAATTTCTTGTTCAATTGATTAGTTAATGGAATGAAGCGAATGCATGCATAAGCTAGTTGTAGTTCCCTTTGCATGTGGTAAAATCTCAATTCGTAATGCATTAGTGGAAGGGACAAGGTACCATAATAGATTGATGCATAGATGCATCTTATTGATGAGATTGTATGCATGATCATCTAGATGAAACTACCTAAACAATCACCTTTTGTACTTATTTTCTCGTTTCTTTTATCATCTTAATTCTTGCTTTGTTTAGAATAGATTTTTTTATCAACCCCTAGGGAACCTCAACACATCGTATTTAATTCTATGTTTTCCTATTACTCGAACACAATTAGTTAGTTTCAAAGTATTTTCTATCAAAAGACTCGTGAAATATGATCCTAGACATACCTAGGACTATTACTTGGCAACACTACTACATATTGCACATCAGGGGGCGGAACTGTGGTGCGGCTTAGAGACCGAATGACTCCATTAATGAGCACAACAACTGGCCTATTTCCCATGTTGCCGACGGTGGAAACCTCCAATCGCGATGAGGCCTAGGTTACAAATCTTGGAATGATGACGTATCTTCCGAGATCGAGCATTGGTGATAGAATTTTTGAAACTTGATGGTCTTGACGATGTTGGACAATGGCTTCATTAGGTGACAATTGGTTCATGAATTCAGATATCATGGAGGAGATGAATATGCATGTGGCTTCCTTCTACATAGAAGGAGATGCAGTACGGTAGTAGGAGCGGATGTAGGGATCATGTGTGGAGGCAAATATGCTTATCATTTAGCCGCAATTCAAGGAAGAATTGAAACTTTAGTTTGCGAAGGCAGAAGGCTGGGCTTCAGAGAAATTAGTAAAGTTTAAACAGAAAGGTATGATTGATGAATACCAAGGTGAGGTTTTAAGGCTAGGTAACATATGTAAGGGAATTTCATAAGAAATGGTGGTCGGTATTTGTTTGGCAAGGTTGAAACCAAAGCTGGTTACTGCAATTAAGGTGTTTGAGTTGGATTTCTACGAGAGTCGCCTTTAGGATAGCTAAAATGAAGGAGGGTGAACTGAAAATTTGAAATGGAAATGTGTGCATGTTCCAGAAAGCATCAAGAGGGTCTGGTAGTGGTGTCGCGACAAAGGTAGGGGGTGCTCCACCAACAACACCACAAGTAGTTGGGAGGAGGCTGGGGGAGGTCATGGGACTAAGACTTGTGACAGTTCGGCCAAGACCATACCTTTCATCTGACACTTCTATGATAATGACAGATTAAAGAATGCAAAGGAAGCACCTGAATCCCGAGCTCGTGAAAGTTTACGTTCTTTTGTCAAAGTCGCGCAACTTCAACTTTTTAGGGTTTTCTGAATTTTCTCTCAACAACTCGAAAAGTAAAGGATAAGGCAAAAATGGTCGTGCAATCTCAACATGAAATCGGGAGAAGGCACCAACAATATAAGGGTATCAACTCGACCACAATCAAGGGGAATACCGGATTGATACAGAGCTCGCTCGAATTATGGAGATCCACGAACAAACAAGAACAAAATTCACGAGTAAAAACTCAAGAACCGAAAAGGTTTTTTTTCTATTCAACATCAATCTCCCTCAAAACATAATTTACAGCCTTTTAAATAGGTCTATAAAATAAAACTAATGAAAGTAAAGAAAAGGAAAAAGAATCATAAACAAAAAAGTAACTAAAATTCATCAGCCTAAAATACCCTATCGACACCATAAAATACCCTAGCAGGTATTTTAACCCTCCTGATCGGGGGTCCTTCTGACCCAAATACTCTATCTCAAACCTCATATCCCCTATAGGGGATTTTAACCGACCTAATAGGGTATTTTTCGTGACCACCATACGATCTTCAGGCTGCTCGTTTGGTGTTCAGGAAGCTTCAATCTTCTCATCCAATGCCTTCACCATCTTTAACAAGACTTGTACTCTCATCCCAACACCTAGCTTTACTCGAATGTCTCCCAAACAAAATGAATAAGCTCCCAAAGTAGCTTACCATTGACTGTTTTCAAGACACTGTTGGAAATAAATTAATTATTTCCTTTCTCAACTTGGTGGGCACGTCTTTAGGCTAAGAAAATGGAATTTGGAATTTTGATATGATGGCCACGTTTTTGTACAAGGAAAGAAAGCTTTTGGGTTTTTATAATTGGAGATTGGAAGAGGGATTTTGGATTGGCAGTGGAGAAGGAAACTCTTTCTTTATTGATACTTGCTTTGAACTCTCTGCTCTGCTCCATACACGGTTACATCCATGCCTATTTATAGGCCAATTCCACTCAAATATCTACTCTCAACCGACTTACATTGTGGCTCCCATTTTGTTTTGTTTTGTTTATTGCAACTAACTCATTAAATTCACAACTAACAACTTCTCGACACTTCTCAATCTCCCTCACGTAGATCACTTCTAGGCCTTTCTGATTTCTTTTGCTAGATATTTTTATAAATTAAACTTTATTTAATTTCAACACTCCCCCTTAAAGTTTAATTAGTCCTAACTCCGAGTAGCGTCCTCAGTTTGACGAACACATCTTGCTTCAGCGGCGTCGTGAAAATATCAGTAATTTGATCTTCTGTCTTCACATACTTCAGCATAACTTCTTTATGATGCACACACTCTCTTAAGAAATGATATCTTGTATCAATATGCTTACTGTGATCATGAAACACCAGATTCTTTGCTAACGCCAGGGCAAACTTGTTATCAACATAAATCTCAGTTGACTCTTCTTGTGTCATATTCAACTCCTTCAGCAACTTTCTTAACCATATTGCATGACACGCACATGATGTTGCAGCAACATACTCAGCTTCACAAGTAGATAATGTCACGATAGCTTGCTTCTTTGAATTCCATGTGAAAGCTGTATCTCCCAGAAAAAATACAAATCCTGTAGTGCTCTTGCGATCATCCACATCTCCTGCCTAATCACTATCGCAGTATCCAACCAATTTGTAATTTTCTGACTTAGTATAAAGAAGACCATGATCGATTGTACCTTTAATGTAGCGCAGTATCCTCTTTGCAGCATTCCAGTGTGACATAGTTGGTGCCTCCATGTATCTGCTAACTAATCCAACTGCTAGAGAATATCTGGTCTGGTACAAGTAAGATATCCCAAGCTTCCGACAAGGCTTCTAAACTCCGTTGAGTTGACCTTCTCTCCTTTGTCATCCTTTGATAGTTTCAGTCCACACTCAGCTGGTGTACTCACAGGATTACAGTTCTCCATCTTAAACTTCTTCAGGACCTCTTTGGCAAAACCACTATGTGAGATGAAAATTCCTTCCTCCTTTTGATTTACTTCAATTCCAAGATAATATGACATTAATCCGATGTCTGTCATCTCGAACTCACGAACCATCGTCTTCTTGAACTCTTCAAACATTTGAGGATCGTTGCCTGTGAAGACAAGATCATCTACATATAGGCAAACCATCAAGATTGCTCCCCCTTGCACCTTGCAGTATAGTGCATGCTCATGTGGGCATTTGCTGAACCCATTTTGCTGAAAAGACTTGTCAATTCTGCTATTCCAAGCTCTAGGTGCTTGTTTGAGACCATACAATGCTTTCTTCAGCTTCAACACCTTATCTTCTTGACCTTCAACGATATATCCAGGGGGTTGCTCAATATAGATATCTTCCTCGAGATATCCATTCAGAAAAGCTGAC